GATGGCGGTGCTTCCACGTTGCGGTGGTTCTCGCCTGCACCGAAGGAGTGTGAACGCCAACGTTTTTTCTTCTTTTTTTGTTCTGCTCTTTGTGTCTCCGATGCAGCACCAAGGCAATAATTAAGCTTTCCACAGCCACCAAAAAGGAACCATGTTCTGCTGTCCCTCTTTGCGCATACTGGTGCTGATCATGGCCGTATTGGCCACCGCCTGTGCTGTGTGTGCCAACATTTTTCCTGTGTTCCAAAAGAAGAGCGATACTGTGACGATGAAACAGACACTATGGTACAGCAGAACAATCTTGCCGGGTGGCAATGAAACCGAGCATAAGGTGAGCAAGAGCTTGTGCCAGCAGTACAAGTTATTTTTTCAGGCCTCTGAGGCGATGATTATGGGTGCTATTGGTGTTGGCCTCATCGTGATGGTTTTTGTCATCGTTCAGATGATCTGCGGGTCTCTGTCGTGTTGCTTGGGGTGTTTGACATCGCTATTGATTACTATTGCATCTGCGGCGTCTGGGGTGTGTGTGGCGCTTCTTGTGTACGGGTACATGAAAGGCTACTGCCAGGACGACACCGCACTCTCTTCCATCTACGCTCCCTTCAAGGACCAGAACTACAAATTTGCGGAGTCATTTTACCTCATTTGCGTTGCATGTGGTCTTTTTTTTCTATCCAGATTTTTTCAGTGCTGGGTCTAAAATAAGCCGAATGGCTGCGTTGCGTTTTATTATGTTTTTTTTGTTTTTCTGTGTAATTTTTTTGAGCGATGTGCGTTGTTGTTTTTTGCTTTGTTTCTTTTTTGTTTCGTTTTGTTGTTTGGATTTTGTTGGGCTTTTATTGTTTTTTTTTGATGCTTTGTGTTTTTGTTGTTGGCATTATCTGTTGTCGTGGCATACTTTTGCTGTTCTCTTCTGTGTTTTTTGCATCGTTGTTGCGAATTTGTAAGTATTGTTTTTGCCTCCTGGCTTGGGGCATGTTGTGATGTCGTACTCCTGTTTGTTTTGGCCTGGGGGGGTGTGCGAGGGACTGGTGTCCCTCTTCGGTTCAAGTTGTGGAGCGCGTTAGAGGGATGCGAGTGTGAGTGCCTTTATTCTTTGTTTGGGTGCCGTGTGTTCTGCTTTTTTTATTGTTTCTGTTTTATTTGTGTTACCTTTTTTTTCTTTTATGGTTTTGCTCTTATTGCCCGCCGATGTGTCTCCCGCACGCTGTGGGTTCGTCTGCACTGATAGAAACGGGCTACCGCGGTGGTGAGGAAGAGTTTGGGCACGGGTGTGCACGAGCGTGGGCCGCCGCTGACTGACAAGGCGGCTTTTTCGTGTTGCCACCCTCGCCATCGTTGCGGTGTCCAGGCAATGTCTCTGCGAGAAGACATTGCAGCGCTTACGGCGGCATTGCATCGGTTCTCTTGCCTGCAAGACCGCGGTAGGAGTAGTGGAATGCCTGACTGCAAACTTTGTGGTGCTAACAACTGCAATGGCGTCACGGAGAAGGAAAAAAATGCAGACCGACCTACCGACTGCGCCGGATGTACAACGCGTCTCTCGGACGTTGAGATTTCCGCCATTTCCATGGCTGTGGAGGGTGATGCTTGTGGTGATGCTGAATCTGCGTCGACGCAACAGGCTGTCGCGTTGCAGTTTCAAAGCCCAAGAGCCTACGAGTCTACTTTTGTAGCACCCCCCAGCAGCAACACGACAGCGTTGCCCTGCGGTGATGAGTCGGATTCACATCGAAAGAGCGTCGGTGGACTTAATGTTACGCGTGCTACCACCCCGCAGGAAAGGGTGGCTTTGGACGAGTGTCGTACGGCAGTGTGGGAAAGGAATAGAACTCGCGGCGAGGGTTTGTCGGTGATGGCTGAGGAAGCCACACAGTTCTCCAGCATTGCATTAGACGCCACCGCTACCTCCTCTGGGGAAAGTACCGCGTTGCATGATACACCACAAGACTGTCAGCACCAGATGGAGGAGGCGTACATACACATTTTGCGGAAGCTGCTGTTGGAAATACACCATTTGGATGCCCGTACTAAGGCCTTATCTGCACAGTGTGAAGGTGAACGTGAGAACTGGCAGAATTTGCAACGCAAACATGAAAAAGAGCTTTTGGGCCGTAATGCTTTAATTGGTGCACTAAGGCAGCACCTCGTGGATATATGCGCAGGTGGCGACAGCGCATCAGCCGGTGATGCCCGCATGAGCAGTGGAAGTGAGTGGACATTGGGGAACTATGGTGCCCGACTCACCCCCACTGTGGTAAACAGGTGTTCCACAAAGGAGAGTAGAAGCAAAAGTGGCGCCGGAACCACGACTGATATGCACCTGTATGATCGGCCCGTCGTCTCTAGTGAGTTATGTGGTATGAGCTCTTCTTCCACGGTGGAAAGGTCCTCTAGGCAAGGGCAGCAGCGAACATCTGAGGAAGTCAGGAGAGGAAGTAGTGTTGGTGGAATACGTCAGGGTGTCAGTGGCGATGCTGGCACGTTGACGCATCCAAATTCTCTCAGCGAGTTTCAGCAACAAAGGTGTTCTTACTGGGGGGCCACCCGAGCGATTGAAGAGGTAGCGACACAGACAAGTTTCGTGGGAAAGCCTGAAACAACAGCTGCTGCTGCAACGGAGACTCAGCGCGTGGAGGACGCCTTGGAAGCAATGCCTCGGAAGGGTTTATCAAAATGTGCACTGGGGGAGGTCGCCAAGGGTAACAGCGGTGAGGCAAATCGCCCGGTGCAATGCGCCACGTCAGGATCCGCACTGTATCACTCCCACAGGGGACATAAGAAGCGAAGGCCGCGCGCATTGACGAAACTAGAAGAATTTGAAATAGAACGAAATAGAAGGAAAAGTGAAGTACCTGCAACGCATGTGGTGCTACGAACTCCTGGCCGTTTTGGGCGCTCAAATGGGGGAGCCTGTCAGCACTCAAGTGGTTGTGGTTTGTGTTGCCGTAACGAACTTTGTGTTGAAGCTTGTGCGTTGATCCAACGCGGCTCGAAGGGAGTGCGTCCTGCGAGTCGACCCCGTCGCACGTCTCTTTCAAAGATACAGCGGAACAAGCATCAGATAGAATCATGCGAAACCCGCGAACTGCTGCGCGGGATAATGGAGAAACACGCGTTGATGGAAGACCGTTTGCGGATATTTCAGGAAAGGCTGGACAAACAAGAGATGGGGCTGCAGAACATGACTGGTCTGTTCCGTGATGTCATGTTGCCCTCCACGGCGGGTTCGCAAAAATTTCGTCCCATCGCGGATTCCCTCTAGCTCTCTGGGATACTCCCTCTTCATCCACTTCACAGTCCTACGATCATAGAGAGGGAGAGAGGAAGGGAGTGAGTGAGTGTATTGTCAGCGTGCGTCTGCGGTTGGGGATTGTTGGGCTATCGGTTTTTGTTTGACACTTTTTTTTTTCGTTGTTTGCTGGCGAGAGGAAGCGGGGGTGGAATAGCTGCTAACGAGGCGAATACGAAAGGTGTAGGTATTTCTTTTTTAAAAAACAAGCAGGAAAAAATAATAAAAAGAGGAAGATAAAAAAAGAAAAAGTGAATCAAAGAGGGAGAAAAGCATGTTTCGACGACTGGGAGCGAATGCCAACAAGTTGGCGAGGCCGGTGAACAAAGATGCTGTGAGTGTGGCCCGCCGCCATCTGGAACCCATGAGTACATGGTACTTGGCTTCATGGACCATGGTGTGGTACTATGCCTTCTTCTTCTGGATGCCGATGGTATGGACAGACCTGATGGTGCCGTCCTTCGTGTACAACAAGCTTCCTGTCATTCATTTTCTTCAGGAGAAGCGGGCGGAGCAGAAGCTGCGCCGTGTGCTCGATGAAACTTACACGGAATGGACCGAAGAACTTGATCAGGCACACATCACAGAGGCCATAACGCGATCCTTTAATTTATGAGACCGAAATAGTGAAGAAATGGTGATACTTTTGTTTTTTCTCCTTGTAACGATTGCTTCTTTCGTAGCGGATGGAGATTTGTGGCCGCACCTTTGCGCAGGAGAAATTGTTGGTGGTGGGGGAAGGAGTGTTAGCTTTGACGTATTTATATCTGTATGCCGGGATGTGTGTATGTCTTTTGGTAGGGAGGTCGAAGTTTCTCAGAAGAAATGATGGCAGCTGCGGCAATGGAGTGGGGGAAGGGGCATCGTTCACTAAGATTCATGGCTGTGCTTCCACGCACTGTTGCTTTTTTGTCTCAAAATGTGCTGTATTCTTTTTATTATTATTTTTTGCACATTTTGTTATGTACGTGTGTTCTAAATAGAGGCTGTTGTTTGAAGTGAAGGTGATTTCTATTCATCACTCGCGCGCTCGCTTTTTCTGCGTGTGTGTGCTTGAGTGGTAACGTGGGGGAGAAACGACTTTGAGAAGGGCGAGGCAATGAGCGCACCTGCGGCGCTTTTATCATCGCCTGCGTCTCTTCGCAGTCGTTGTGAGGAAATTCTGTGCAACCTTGTGGAAACGCAGCAGGGGCTCGGGAGGGAGTGGAAAAACGTTCAGCCTTGTGTTTTACATGCGTCGCAGCTGCTCCTGCAGCAGGCGCAGCAACACGACGAACGGTTGGGGCAGCTGGAGGACAAAATGAGTCAGGTTCTGAATGCCGTGGAGGTCATTGTGAGCGATTGTCGGCTTAAGGAGCAACGCTACCGTATCGACCGCGAAACCACGGAAAGGGTAATACAGGAGCTCCAGCAAACCAGCCGGCAGCTTCACGACGCTGTGGAGATGGAGCGCCGTGCCAGCCATCAGTTTCGCGAGGAGATACTCTACCCCGGTTTAGCGGATCTACAGCAGCAGATTGATTGCATTCTGTCAGATGTGCACGCATATGTGCCTTCATCACAGCCACAACAGCGACTATCATCCTCAATATCATTGGCGCCGCCACCCCCGCCTTTGCCAGCAGCAGTTTTTGAAGCTCCGACCGATGGTGACCGCAAAGGGTGTGTGGATGACTCTCCACTGAAAGAGATGATTCGGGAAGTGAAGTGTCTGCGCAATCAGTGGAAGCAGCTCCTGCAACAGTCGCAGTCAACCTTGCCGGTCTCTTGGAAACGCGGAGAGTCATCCAGCGGGGATGTCAGAAGTTCCATAAAAAACAGAAGAGTTCTGCTCTCTATGGTGCGTCCGAGTGTGGACTGCAGTCTGGCACGGTGGCATTGGCGTGGAGGTCACGTGTCGTTGCCAACGCTTTCCATGGATAGCCCCATTCCGTGGAGCACACTGCATGTGCGGAAGACAACAACAGGGGAATGGCTCTCAGTTGGCATAACCCCCGAAGGCACGGCTCTTCATTCCGAGCTCAGTGAAGGAGGAGGGCCCCCATTTCTCTGGCGTCCAAAGCGTCCTTCTGTCATTGAGCTCTTAAAAGGCGGCATCTATCGTGTAACGGTCTCTCTGCTCAGCAGCTGCAGTCGTCGTACCGGTGGGAAGAGCCCCGGCAGCGGGGGGGGCGTCGTCGGATTTGTGCCGCCGTCCGTATTGCTAAGGGTGAACGACAATACCGTCTTTAGCTTTTTCACGGGGGGGTCCACCTGCTACACCTTGCAGCCATCACAGGGAACCGGCCGCCAAAATGTTTCTGCCCTTCATGTCAGTAGCAACAGAACAGCCGCGTCTTGTCAGACGTGTGCGTGTCCCCGTCGGTTGTGCAGCTGCAGTGCATCAGTCGCATGCACAACTTCATCCTTTGTAGATTTTCTTCGTTTACCGTCCGGGTCATGTCTGTCTGTCCACTGCCACGACGCGACTGACACAAGCGCGGCACATGAAGCATTTCTCGAGGTGGAGTTGGTGGCCGGTTAGCGAGATGCAAATGAGCCCCTCTTTTTTGTTGACTTTATTCCCGCTGATGGAGAACCGTGTGTGTGTGTGGTGATGCATGCGTGCTCCGCGCGGAATCTTTTTTTTCTCCCACACATGCACACACAAAACAAAATACAAAAAAAAATGACGATAGAAAAGAAGATGCAAACAAATACACCCCCCTTTCACAGGAACGGCAAGTAAACACAAGAAGAGACGAAGAAGTGGTATGAAAGGGTTGCGTCGATGCTGCAATGGTGGTACATCTTTAACGGGTTCTTTGTATCTGTGTATGTGTGTCCAACTGTTTCCATCCATTTTCTTTGCAACTTTGCCGCGTTCCACTTACGCTTATCGCCTCAGAGAAGGAGCCCCTCCCTGCCCGCCCGCCTCAGGGAGAAAATAAAAATATATAACAGAAGGTCCACAACCTAGTCCCTTTAACAGGGGTAGAGACAACACACAACACACTCACATTTAGCTGACATGGGTCAGAGGAATTCATTGGTGCTGGCTAGCGACACCATCAAGGGGGAGCAGTACCGCGCCTACCATGCGGCTCGCCAGAACATTGTGCATCGTGTCTTTCAGAAGTGTATTGTCCCTTCCAGTACAGAGACGAGCGATTTTAAGCTCACCAAGGATGAGCAGACATGTGTGGAGGAGTTCGCGCTCCTTTACGCCGCGTTCGCCAAGAATGGCTTCGCTCAGCTCAGTCAACTGTATGATCAACATCAGCGGGATATGTACGAAAAGGCGCGGTTGGAAATGATGGCGCAGCAGGCAAGAAAGGAACTGAAACACTAACAAGTCTTTTGTTGTGCACAATTGCACGTCTGCATTTCTCACCCTGTACGTGGATATGTGTGTACGTTACACGAAAGACGCGACTAAACCAAAACTTGAAAAGAAATAAAAAGGACGAGAGTTGGGCATCCCAAAATGGTGGTAAGAGAAGCCGTAGGAGATAAGCTGCTAACACTGAGGCATCCTGCGCAGAACCCCACTCTCACGCTTACACGAATCCACTCACATACATATGCGTTTTATTATCTTGCAATACATGTGCAAAGGTGTATTCTCCATTATGTGTTTTCCCCTCCTTTGCCTTTTTGTGTTGCTTTCTGCCCGTATGTGAGTGGGTATGTCCTCATTTTAACCTGATTTTGTTTTTATTTTGTGATTATCTTTTTTTTTTGCCTCCCTCCAGACTCATAGAGAAGTGAAGTTCAAAAGAGAAGAGTTTTTACAAGAGGTTTGACGACATTACACGCGGGTCGCTAAAATGGGAACCCTCGCACCTCCCTTCACAGCGTTAGAGGCCGACAACAGTGTGGTCAACAGGGATGACTTAAGCACACCACTCGCCGTACCGCAAAACTCCGCATTATGGCGGCCACCGCCGGTGCCAAAGACACCCGCAAAGCAGCGCAGAACTGTGCATAGAACCCGAAGCCAGATGCGGTGTGCGCCACTCAACAACAGTCAACGTGGTCCACGGAATGCTGTGCAGGATATCCGCAAGGGTCTTGCTTCAAGGAAGCGGCCATCCTCTGATTTGTCGCAGTTCAGTGCATTACAGTTGGATGACACAGATAATTCCATGCCTATCATCTCACAGGATGGTGAGGTCGAAGTACCACGTCGTTGTGTAAATCGCCCTGTGGCGCCACTTGGCTTTTTTTCGGCTGCTGTGCTTTTCCCATCTCAGACGATTTCCTCTCAGGGGGATTGTCTGCCACGGCGCGGGCAGAGTGCCTCTTTCATCCGTGCCTCACCAGAGGGATTGGACCACTCACAAGCAGACACCGAATACTCCAATTTATTTAATCGGCGTATTTTAACCGACTACCGGGAAATTAAGGATCTCGGTTCTGGTTCCTTTGGCAAGGTCACACTTTACGAAGAGACAGGCACAGGAGCTCTTGTGGCAGTGAAAATGTCGCCACCTTTGACGAATGCTGAGCAGCGTCAACGCTTTTTGCGGGAAAAGGAAATATTGACTTTTACTCGAGGTTTTCCACATGTTGTGCAGCTTCTGGATGCGTGGGAAGAGGGATCTATTCCGCAGATGTACCTCCAGATGGAATACTGTAAGGGTGGTTCTGTGGCTAATATGGCGGAGCTGCGGCGTAAACGCGGGGAGCGATGGGAGGAACGGGAATTGTTCATATTCCTTGGACACATGGCTCTTGCGTTGGATGCATTGCATAGTGCCAATATTGTACATTTGGACTTTAAGCCGGATAATGTGCTGATAGATGGGGATGGAAGTTACAAACTTAGCGACTTTGGTTGCAGTGTAACTCTTAACGAAGAGGGTCGTCCACGGCGGTGCCTTATTCCAGGCAACCAAAGGACGAGCAATGCATCACAAATGGTGAACGGTAACACCATGATGGACCTTATTGGGCTAAGTATGCCGACTCAACTTAGCACCATGAGTGTGGAGGAGGGGGACTGTCGCTATGTGTGTGCGGACATGCTTAACCAAAAACGGCATCCCAAGGCGGGCGATATTTTTTCTTTTGGTATTTCACTCTTTGAGCTCATGTCAGGGGAGGCGTTGCCGCAGCACGGGACACCTTTTTTGGAGCTGCGCAGTGAACTACCGGTAGAACTTCTCGAGTCCCGCGGTTACTCAAGGCCTCTGATTGATCTTGTAGCCCTACTTATGCATAACGACCCAGTCGCACGTCCAACCGCACGTGATGTGCTGCGCTTTTTTTACCTCCCACCACGCGTTCCGGAGTTGGTCACAAAGTGGTCTGCCGCAGAGGAGACATGCGAGAGCGAGGAGGCATCGACACTCCTGGAGATGCGCTTTGTGCATACCGCACTTGAGGTCTCTTTGTGGCTGGTGGGTGCAGCACGCCGGACGCTTGAAGGGGCGTCTCTCAATAACAACAACAACAACGGCGGCGGCGGCGGCAGCAGTGGTGGAAACTGTGCCACTGGCGGTGATGCTCTTTGGAGACGACCGCGAGTCGACATTGAGGAGTCGTGCACGCCGAAAACGCCTGTGATCATCCGCAGGCTAGGCCGTAGTTGAGGGTAAGTCGCCGTAGCCTACACAGTGGGTATCGCTATAAAACAAGAAGTGAAGCAAAGGGAGAGAATTGGGGCAGGTATATATAGAAAAAAAAAACAATAAAACACACAACAAGCTGATGCGGGAAATTAGTTTTTATTGCTTCATACCACCACCACCACATGTACGTAGGGATGCATAACATTTTTCTCCCTATGTTTCATTGTGTCTCTGAATCAGTTGAATTGCAGGTTCGGAAATTATCTTTAGAGTTGCCTCTGACGGTCACAACTTTCTTGTAGAGGCTTCGTAAGCTCGGCAAGTCTCCCGCTTGTCTCAGTAGAGTGGTATGTATTTACGTGCCCCATCTGCGTTGTGTCATGGGGGTGGGGGGTCTCCTGCACCACAGTGTGCACAACACGTGCGTGTAACATATCAAAAAAAAAAAATTCTTGTTTCTTTCCGCTGCTATTACAGGAGTCTGCTTCTCACAATGCGAGCAAATGAGAAGAAGGATGCGGGCGAAAAGGCGGTCCCAACGAAATACCCTTCTTTGCAGGGTGCGGACGCCAGTGATGAATGTAGCCGTTCAACCTTCAGGCCGGTGCTGCTCGAAGTAGCGGGCTCGCTGAGCGACACGGTGTGCCAGGATGTCACACGGCGCCTACGACAGCACCGCAACCGATACGCCCCCATTCTTAGACTAGCAGCCACGCTGATGGTACCGGCGGTGCCGGAGGTGGAACTCTTCGGTTTTAGCGAAGGTGTTGGGGTTGGTGATGAGTGGAGCGCAAATGACAAGAAGGAGGCAACCGAAGAAAAAGAAAAGTGTGGGCACAATAGAGGCTGTAGCAGAAGCGATAGCCCCATGACAAAGAAGAGGCCGAGAGCCGATGCCCTTATCTCCGCCCCTCGGGCCGCTATTACAGCAGAAAGGCGAATCGAAGTTGTGCATCGCCTACATGAAAATAATGGTGATATGACGGCTGTTGAGAAGCTGGAAGCATTTATGGCGTATCACTTTCTTCCACTGGCGCTGACACATAATTGTTGGCCGGAGTTTTCACACGCTGAGACACCATTTGCACTTCGTCAGTATGTGCACGAAGTGACACGCACGTCTTCGTTTCTCATTGCGGACCTTACAGAACGTGTAGCAGCCATTATTGATCCACAGTTTGATACGTCTGTGTACGAGGCGGATATTTCGGCGTTACAGCTTCAATTACGTGGTGTTGTGCTTTCGCACTGCTTCGTAGACATTGCAATGGGGCATGCTGCACTGCTGGCAAAACATCCAGAGGCGGTGCTCTTAAGCGGCACACCGTGGATACAGGAGATGGACACACCCGCAGAACCGTGGCCGATGTTATCATTAGGCCCACGTTTGCAACTTTGCTGTGTCCCCGTGCCCTCCTTTTCCCCGGAATGCATGTTGGTTGAGTTGCGTTTTGATTCCAATCTACTGGCACTCTTTACAGGCACCGTGATTGGCACCGATGCTGCCCCACGTCATGATTTTTTTGCCGATTTTCCGGGACTTTCTTCAACAGGTACTTCCTTGTCTCTAGAGACGGCAACAACAGTGGCGCAACGTTTTCTCAAGGAGCGTTTGTGGGACAGGTACTTTGCCCAGTCAGGTGAGAGTAATAATAGGCACACGCTGGATTATGTTGTCGTGTTTCCATCCCACGGCGGGTATAACAACGTGACACATCAGCTGGATCTCTACTGGGCGGCTCATGTGGGCGATCTAAAGCGAATGAAACACTCTCGCAAGGTGCTAGACAAACTTTTGGACCCCGCAGATTACGTCACGTACGTTCACGGGCGTCCACCACTTCCCAAGCCACTATTATTCTCGCATATAAGAGAACACAATTTGCTCTCCTTCCCCTCTGCATTCGGTGGAAGTGGAGCCAGACTTTTATCACGGAGCTCTTTGCCGTCTTATCATTTTCCAAGTCTCAATGATGCTGTTGCGGCTTCCTCAGCCATGACACCCATCGTTCTGGACATCAGGGACAACACGGACCACGAGAAGGTGCATTTGAAAGGATCTGTGAATATTCCAATGAATTTCCCAGATACTGCCTACGGTGCCAAGAAGGCAGAATTGTGGCTTCAGTGTTTGCTGCGACCACTTCAACCCATTGTCGTGATTTGCGCAGGTGAGCAACAGCTTTCGCTTGTACGAAAGCGGCTAGCATTGATATCCCCGGGGGCACCAATAGAAATCTATACCGCGAATGAGCTAGACGCTCCTTCCAGTCCTCCTTTTGAAGTTGGTGCAGGCACGCAGACAGGGGACTACATTACAGTCAAGCCTCTTCCAATGTCCATTATGTCGAATTATTTGCCGCGTCAGCTTGTGTGGGTGACTGACTCGGACACATGTGCCTTCTTGAGGATTGGTAACTATGAGCAGCTTAAGTGTATCGAACCATCTGAGGACACCTTGATTCTCGACTGCCGCACCTCGTACGAGTTCAAAAATGGCTCGCATAAGCACAGCATTCATGTTTCTTTGGCGGATCTGTGTCAGATAACAGCTCTAGATACGGTGTCAGCATCCTCATCCTCATCAGCATTGGCGAGAAGTACACATGAACAGGGGACGCCGGTGGTTGATTTTCATACCCCATCCTCGCAGCTTGGCCAAATCCTTTTGGAGAAGTTATACGATAGCTGTATGGCTGCGGGCATCCGATGTCGCTTTTTGTGTCAGGACATCAAAAAAATTATTGTGTACTGTGCCGGTGGATATCGCTCCATTATTGCTGGCTCTTTGCTGCGTCGGGCATTTGAAGCAGCCGCAGTGTCGATTCAAGTGCATGATGTAGTAGGGGGCGCGCTGCAGATCATGAAGCAGAGGCCGGACCTCTGGACGGTTAAGGATCGCTCCATCATATGTGTCAGCTGACCCCGGTAGGCTAGTAGAGGCAAAATGAAAAAGGTGATGCCAACAGTGCCTTGAGGAAGGCTGCAAAGGCATCTTGGTTTCTTCTTATTTTTTCTCTACGAGCTGAATAATGCGCGCACATGTGCACGGACTATCCCCTGAAACTCCTATTGTCTTTTTTTCCATGATGTTAACGGAATAAACCCCTCGAGGGTGTCCGTCAGCTGAATTTACACACGGCAGTGTGTTGAGTTGCCTACGATTTGCGTTGGTGCACACATACACACTGCTCACTGGAGTTTCTCTCTCTTTCTCTTTTTACATTGTTCTGCGTGAGAGAGGCACATTCCACTCATCCCTCACACCGTGCGGTGGTGGAGAGCAAATCACACGAGCATAATATATCTATCTATCTGTGGCAACAGTATCTGCCACACTGAATACAAATACAATAACTTGACTGGCGTAGGTGTCGTGCCGAGCTGTACGGATGACACCGAAACCCATGTCAGTTTATAGTTGTTGTGTCTCAGGTTAATCTGCGAAAGCACAGCATGGAAGTGCGCTGCTCCTCAAATGCGTCCAGAAGGTTATTTCTTGCAAACCTTTCATATTTATTTTTTCTCTATCCCCCTTTGTTTTTCCTATACGCACGGGGAAAAGGATGATGGAGCTTCAAGCATTAATCCAGCTGGTGAGTGAGTACCACCCCGGGGGCGAGACCTCAGCGTCGCGATCATCACTTTTGACTGCTGTGCGGCAGCTTAAGATAGCTCTGTCAGACATTGAAAAGGTTGGTGAAGGCATTCGCCCTCTTGTAAAGGCACTTGTTACCGCATCTGTGTACCTTCCAGAGGAATGGGAAGATATTCTAAAGGTCCTGCGTGGCGTGCTCGCAAATAACGCAGTGCCGTGGCTGCATCGGGCCTTTTTGCTGAAGGCCCTTCCGGGGATGTTTCTTGATGCACCAGTGGAACGGCGCAGTCAGTATGGGGATGCACTGTGCGAGGTGCTTGTGCACTGGTCCATACCCCCGCCAGAAAGCGAGGAGGCTGATACACAAAATACACAGGGCGAGGCATTGCAGAGTCCTAACCCGCAAGAACGGCGTGTTGCCTTGACGGCTCTTCTTAGCCTTCAAGAAGAATGCAGCGCCTCAATTGTGGAGAAGCTTACGGCACAGCTCCCTCACTCGCTGTCAGCGTGTGTGTCAATCGTGTCAAGCTCTTCAGCTCAAGAAGGGTTGAAAAGGGCGTTTGAGTTGTGGCTCTGCCATCCATCGCAGTCAGTGGAGGCATCCTGCACACTGGAACTTCAAAAGGCATTGAAAGAGCACTTTCGGGACTATGGTGGCTTAAGGTGCGAACAGCTCTGCGCCGCGCTTGTATCACAGAATCCACCGAAAAATCTCACTGAGCTTGATGCATTGCAGAAGCAGCTGCTGGCATTGGAGGAGATGGGCGCGTCGCATTGCAATATTGTCGGCAAACGGGTCCCTTTGGCGTTTCTGCTTGCGAAGGTCGCAGAAGTATTGAATTTTATCTACTCATCAGAGCAGAATTGCTTAGAGAAGAGTGTGAGAGACTTCACTGTGCCGTTATCTGTCATTCAGTTGCTCGTGCAACTAACTGACGTGGCATTAGCGACGCCGGACAGTTTGAATAGTCAAGAACTTGAAAAGGTTTCTGCGTGTCTCGTGGCGATAGAGAGTGCTGACGCAGCTTTGGATGCCCCTCTGCCAATCATTGAGTGCGTCCTCCATCTTGTTCTTCGTGCACTGCCATGCGTGTCAACCACGGATGAAGGCGTGAGGTCCCTTCTGAATGAAATCTTTCGCGTTGCCGGCACTCTGCTGCCTGTCGTAGAGGAAGCCGTACTGAAGATTCACTCCGCTGCTCCTCTTCTGCGTGAGCAGCAGCATGCAGTGGATTTTAACACAAAGACGGATGGCAAAGAAGGCTCGACGCAGGCGACACATCCCTTTTTAACGGCGCTGCGTGTGGCCCAAACGGTGGCGCAGTTGTGCCGTATTTGTAGAAAAAAACTTCAACCCAATAGAGCGAAGCCGCGAGACGAAGAAGGCTCACACAATGAGCTTAGGGATATCGCTGCAGCGGTGCGCTGTGTAACACCGTCATGGAGAAGAGAGAAGACAAAAACCCAACCTTTACAGGCGCCAGCAAACCCACACTCACGTCGGGTGGTCGCGGACGTCTCGGGAATCAGGAAAGAGCCGCATCATTCATATAAACAACCACGCCATGGTGATCGAGGCGGTGGGCATCCTCCTCTAAGACGTCGCCGCCGTGAAGCGCCACCGATGTAGAGTTGCATTAAGAACAACGTGGCGTGCGAAGACATTTAATAAAAATTACAAGCGTCCACACACAGGCCTTGTACTCTCTTCCATAGTAGCGGATCTGCGTTTGTGAGATAAAAAAGGGGAAGAATGAGGAAAACGAAGACACGTGCGGTGGAACTTCATCTATGGAACCAACGGGTGACGCTACGAAAGTGCATTGGAAGGCGAAGGGGGAAGAATAATGTTTCTCTGACCTCCTCTCATTTCGTTCGCAACGCCTGCTGCATGCAGCTTCTTTCTTTCTTTTGCATCTTTTCCTCTGTCTCTTTAGGGCAAGAGAATACATTTTCTCTTATTATTTTGCTCGTCTCACGTGGGAAGGGGGAAAAAAAATCAGTGGAAGTAGCGAAGATAAATACAAGTAGGAAGGATTTTTATTTTCAGGCTGAGGCAACAACGACAAACGACGGAGAGGGTACTTGCGTACGTGTGAGCAGTGGCTCAAAGTGGAGCATCTGGGCTGCATCTAAGGTGTTTCTCCCAGTCTGTAATTTGGCAATCGTGGCTGAAAAGCAGGCAGCAATACATATATATATAACCACCATCTTCCTTTGTTTATACCTTTCAACCTGTTCACCGGCGCCCACACCGTTTTTTGAATTGGTTTTGGAGGGGTGGTGGGGAGCATATTTACACAGTAACAAATAAACTCCTCTTTTACTTGAGGCAATGTGGCGACAGACGCGGGTAGTGCTGCCAGTTGCTTTGGCTGTCGCCAACAAGGGTACCTCGTCAATCCCCGCCACTACCAGCTCAACCCTCTCATCAGCAGGATCGACTGCACGCTGTGGCGCTACGCAGACGAGCCTGCAGGGGCTTCGCGTTGCAGCTTACTTTGAAAACTCCGAAACGGCGAGCACAGATGAACCAATTGCTATTGGACAAATAACAGCTCAAATATCAGAGTCGGTGTACGCCGTTTTCTTTAAGGAGATTGCTCTTTCGCCTGTGATCGAGGTAGGATCGCGGGTGTACGTCACTTGCGGTCAGGATGCAGTTTGTACCCCTGATCCAGCCAAACCCAGTGAGGTGCGTCCCACACCTATTTTTAACACGGCGGGACTGACGGAGGGAAATGCAGTGGCGACAACAGGGCCAGCGGCAAAAAACACATCAACTCTAGCCAATGGAACATCCCACCATAAAAATGCACCCACGACTGGAATGCGACAAATGACTGTAGCAACGGGAATAAGCACGCCATCTGTGGATGCCGCTGCTTCTGTGAACACCGCTACTGCTACCACCACCGCCGCAGCCGCTCCGCCTGTATATGCGTCAAGCACGGGTACAATAATTGGTGGTTTAGTGGCCAAAGTCAATGGAAATGGTACCTTTGCAGTCCTCTTAGATAACGACCGCTTTGACCTTGCCGTACCACGTGAAATGATTGCTCTCTCAGAAGGGCGTTCGAAGTTTATTTCGAATGAGAAGTTTCAAGAAGTGTTAGAATGGGTAAAGTCCGCAGGAGTGGATCGTCGCTCTGACCAGGAAAGTACTTCCTGTATTCTTTTTCACCGAGGCTGGAGAGCGGACAAGTTATATTTGCTGGATAGCGCCGATGTCCACTGTCTCTCGCACCTTAACAAGTCTGTTCGCATGAGCGTGCTTGAGAAATCGGAGTGGGAACGTGACCAGCACCGGCAGAAACGCGAGGAAATCAAGGAACGTATGAAGGAGAAGGAAATCCGATACGTCCTTACCAAGTATAGTGGTGTCTTCAGTGCCTGCGTGGCCGTTCTAGGTGTCATGTCTGTTTTTGGTTGGAATTTTAAAAACTACATGAAGCAGCAGCGCTCCTATCAGTTAGCCATTGCGGCAAATACGCTCTCCCAAAAGTATGGCAAACAACCGATGAAAGGTTATGTACATCGCGAAGAGGAGGAGCGGCGCTTGCGCCAGACACTAAGGCAACAAGATCTCTCACACCCGCGTATTCTCGTCTTCGCTGGGTTCTATGGCTGCGGAAAAAGCATTTTATTTCGCGCCGCCGTTCGCAAGGAAAAAATGGCTGCCGTCTTTGTTGATATTCGTTCAAACGAGGACCCACTTCGCTCCATTGTGAAATCGTTAAACGTCCAGAACATCGACGCATGTGGCGATCTTCTCAATTTCATTGGCGAGGCTTCAGATCGCGCAAGGAAGACCATGAATGGTGTCACCCCTCTACTAGTACTTAAAATCCGCGATGGCAGCTCGCTAATGCGCATCTACAACGAGGTTGTGGCATTGGCATGCGATCGACGACTCTGTCAGGTCATTATCGAGGTACCCATTGAATCGCTTACCTTGGCAATGACAGCTCTGCCACGCCTCGACTTCCACCTTGTCCCCAACTTCTCAGCCACAGAGGCCTTTCGCTATACAAATCACCTAATTGATCCCCTTGAGTTAACACACTTCGTTGAAGTAGTCGGAACAAACAGCAATGACCTCGATGAACTTCTCGCCACTGTTCGTCACGGACACATCTCTGCCACCACGTACACCAACCAAAAACTTCTGAAGGCCATGAGACAACTGCAAGCTGCATGGGCAAAAGACCCCTCACTTCACGAGGCCGTTTTAAGGTTGGCGCACTTTCCTTTTCAAACTGGACAGAGCGAAGGATACGATTATTCTAGTCTACGCAACGAAGCCCTTCGAGACATCGTCATGTACAATGCAGTTACGGATGTCTGGATGTTTCAGCAAAAGGTGTTTCACACAGCAGCTCGCTGTTGGCAGTAACTGAACTGATCATGTGTGCGAACCAAGCAGCGTCTCACTGTGTCGCTGGATCCTGGTGCTGGTGAAAGTAACTGTCGCATGGGCGCCCCATGAACACTGCTCTCACCCAACAACTTTTCTTCTCTTCCTCTCAATCTTACTTGTGACGTAAGAAGCAATGGGCAAAGCTGGTGTGACTAGCTACGATGTGCTCACCCTCATCTTCGTTCTGCTCGTGCGGGTCGGGACGTCGATTAACAATTTCGTGTGAAGGATCAGAAACTCACAAAAAAAACACGCCGTGTTTTGATCTTGTGGGGAGAGGAACTGAAATGCCACGGCACAAAGTATTAGCTTCGCCCAAAGATATCTTCGTGGTCTGCCCCACACTTGTGAGGTACCTTAGAGCT